TCAGGTTTATCTGGCATTCACACACCCTCACATCTTCCCTAATGTAAGCTTAGCACAGGAGCTGCTCTTTCAGAGCTTAAGTCACACAGTGACTTAAATCCCATTATCTTCATGAGGGCTTGGATATCTGTATTCAAGAACAAGAGGACTCCCTCTGGACTGTGTTTTGTCATATACTCAGCTGAAAAAAAGTTCTGGTAAGGGACGTGAAGTAGGCAGTGCCCCCCTGCTGGCATGTTACAGATGGCAATCTGGTTGCATTTGTCTTGTGCTTATAGTATTTTAAGAACCCTTCTGAACCAAAACAAGTGTCCACTGATTCTTGACAGAAGAAGGAGATGTGAAGCAGAAGTCCCCACTCTAAACTGCTGCCCGTAGATCAGTGCACCTACCATTCTAACACCTGCATTTTTAAACCATGCCTTTATTATCTATCATAGTGAATACCTATCCAGAAACACAGATGTACCCTTTATCCTAGAGCAGTTGCACTGCAGTATGGATTCAAGGGGTGCTGGAAGCATGAAGAAGAAATTTAGGCAGTACTATTCCTATGCACAGTTACATGTGAAAGGATTTGCATGATTTATCCACAAGGTGACATTAAAAGAATTCAGTATTTAAGGCAGACATTCCAACCTTTTACCATCCAGTTCTTGCCATTTCTCCCATTCATGGCAATAAAAGTAGCACATTAAAAGGGCTCTGTGCAGCATCATATTTAGAGCTACTTTGTGTTCTGTATAACACAATTTCACAATATTCTGGTCTGCAGAATGTTGCTTTCTGCAGTAGGAAATCTCTCTTCGAACACATCACAATCTAACATTCCAGTAAATTCTCCTCACTTTCCATAGGTTTCCTCTTTTCTTTCTCATAAGAAAATATCCCAGACCTTGGCCCCCAAATCATCCAGTAACAGAATGACACCCAGAAGGTCTTAATGAAGTTCATTGTTGTCTATTTCAAACCAGTTTCCCTACTTGTCCAAGCCAGCTGTGACAGAGGAAGTGATACAGTGTAGTACAACATGGGAGTCAGGTGTTTGTGCACCTGAATTTGATTTCACACAATCTTAGCAAGAAATAAGCAATGCACAGTGAAAAGTATTACAGCTAAACTCCTTCCGGTCCCTTTCCGGATCCTTCAGTTCCTGCTTTCTCCTGGGAAATCATATACATTGGTTATGATAACATTAGCCCCGCCCTGACCTGGCTTGGCAAAGACCACTTCTAATGTAAAATACAGTCATTAAACAATTCTGATTGTCTTCATTTAAAGAACTGTCACGGGAACAGCAAAGTGACAAATCACCCTGGCTACACACCTCTGTCAATGTCTGTGATGTAACAGGGTCAAAGGTACAAAATATCCCCTTGCTGTTACTTCTGCGGGAGAAGAAGCAGCAATTTTAAGCCTTTAACCTCTTGCAACTTTCTTCTTGTTTCACACAGCTAATAAGCGTCATTACTTCTCCGTGGCTTCTGTCACTGTCAGACAATAAATAGTGTGACTTCCATATAGGGTGTTGAAAGGTCTGAGAAGCACAAAAAAAAAAAAAAAAAAAAAAAAAAAAAAAAAGCTACTGAAGGAAGGAAATCAGCCATATAACCTACTATTTTGTACTCTTTTTCCTGGACCACAGTCCCCACTACTAATGAAAGGGTCAAGGATTTTGCCATGAAGAAGCCATGGATTTAAAAAGACACATTTCAATCTGGTCAACCTTCAGGCAGAAACTCTGCTGCCAACACAGCAGCAAAATCCCAGTGCTGGCACAGCAGAGGATGACCTTCCACTGCACAGGAACAGCAGACTTCTGCGCACCCTCTTTACAACAAGCCAGGGAAAGGACACATTCTACCTCAGCAATGCAATAACCCATCAAACGGATTTCACAAAACCTAAATACCCTCATCAAACTTTCAAACAAAGCAATTTGTCACCACATAACTGCCTTTCCTTGGCTGCTAACTTGCCAACTTAGCTCAGCTATCTTTCAAAACTACTTGTGTCCTTCTTCCCCTATGGACAAAACTCCAAGGAAAAGCAAAACTAATCATTCTGTGCCATTAGAGACAAGGCTAATACCTTCAAAGTTTGCTTCGAAGGCAATGGCAAAACTCCCACAGAAGCATTCTGTTAAGGTTAGTGCTACTGCTAATTAGCAGAGAGTGAGATCTCGTCTTCCTCAATAAGGTGAGTGAGGAGGCAGGAGAATGATGTTTTTCTATCAGTACCTTATTTGACCACTCCCTATGACAAAACCTGGTTCCAAACTCCTGCAATGCTTCAGAGACCAGCATAGGCATGTACAGTAGGGAAAGGTCAAAAGCAACCACCTGCAAATAGTTTTCAAATCCAGGTTCTTAGCTATCATAAGCTCTGGCCTAAGTTTCATTTTAGGGCTGCACGCTGGGAAGAAAAAATTACTTATGAAAATGACATACCCATTATGCTCTGTCAAGGACATTCAACTGGCCCTCAGCCTTTGTGAATTTTCACCATCTGAGATAGCTGAAGGGTTAAGCTACCTTATCTGTAGGTGTTCAGCAAGCAGAATCTATAGCAGGTCTGATTCTGTGTAAATTAGAAGGGACCATAATGAAAAAATTGCAGTATTTTTTCTTTCTTCCAGGAATACCATAAGAGATGATGAGAATGGTATAAGAACTTCTGCACCATTCAAAGAATCCTATCAAACAGAAGACTGAATTCAGAGGTGTTCTGGGAAAAGCCATATTAAACTAAAATCAAAAAGCCATAAAAGCCACCCAAAGACCTCCCAGAAAGTGAGGATAATAAAAATGGTCACTAGCACATCAGACCACATACCCTACATAAAGCAAGCCTATCAACTAGATAGTTTGGTTCTCTGCTCAGTTTGGCCATCCTTGTGGACACAATTCACAGATTATTCTGAGTAGGAAGGGACCCAGAAGGATCATTGAGTCTAACTCTTAAGTAAATCTCCCTTTGGATATCAGAACTGGCAGACAGAAAGGGTTCTGGCCCCAAAACTAAGGAAGCAAACTATAACCTTTAGTCCTTGGTTTGCTGTGCCAGTCTGGCCAGCTTGGATGATTTGTATCAGATTGGGCTTTAACTCCAGGGAGAAACCAGTGTCCAAAACCAGCTTTATTTTCTGTGTTATATTTGCACTGGGAGATCTTGTTTTATCTTGTTTAAACTATTTGTAATTTAAAAATAGGACTCTGCTTAATGAATTAGCATTTCCTGGATTTTACCACTCTGCAGAGACTTCTCCTTTATTGAGTAAGTGGGTAAATTCCAGACACATTAAGTCATCTGGCAGAAGAGCTGGTGCCCTGGCCAGCATCTTGACAGACATCAGGAGCTCAGACTTCACAAAAAGATGCTTTTTGAATTTACCTTCTCAGAAAGTCCTATTATCATACAAATCCTGACCTTGGCATGCAACATCTTGTTAGAATGAAGGTCTGCCCAGGGTGAATGCTGTTAAGCACAGGCAGGCACTGCTTCCAACTCATGTTAAATCACCATGGTGCAGAAAAAGCAGCCATCATAGATGCTATTGCTTTGCTGCAGCCCTCCTCCCCCCACCTTTAACTGCAGTCTGTAAGCAATTATTTAACTTTGCTGGATTCATGGATCTCCAGCTGTAGTCACTGTATCTCTAGTTTGCAGGTATATTAGTTCAATTCTGTGCAAGCAACCTTGCACTACAGCAAACAGTGCAAAGCCTGCACATCTTAACACTAATTCTCCTTCAAAACAGGCACTGAGGAGTGAAATGAAACATAGCACTGCTACCACACAAACTGCTACCTTCTCACATAGATGTCTTCTTACCTTGCTATTTTGTGCAAACAAATCAGTCCCTTTCTTCTCTAGTTTGATCTCCCTATTCAAAACACCCCAACTAAAACTTTGGTTGCTTCCTCTGTTCTTAACTGTGAAAATTTCATTCCTCTGGTGAAAAACACCCATCACTTTCAGAAATGAAAACATTATTTCCATGCCATGGGATAGAGTCCTGCAGTAAATGTTGAAGTTGTATATGACATCAATATCACTACACATTAAACATTTACACAGCCCCATGATTCTACAGTTTCTTCAAAGAAAAAATAATGAAAAATGCACACATGAAATAGAATACAAGAGAGAATGATCATCTTCCTCTGAGGCCAATATTTCAGTTCCCAACAGCATCCAGCATCACCTCAGTGATGCTTAGACCACTGCTTAGAACTAATGTCCCGGTCAAGCAGCCCAGAAAGTAACTGTGGCAGAATAAAGGAACCTCATTCCCAAATGTTCAGTGTTTTCAATTTCTCCTACACATGTCCCTACTTTTTCTGTTTTACACCATTATGTTAAAACAATTCCTCACACACATAAGCTAATATAAAGAAACCTATAGAAGATTGGCCTTCAATCCAGGTAAAGTGTGTAGGAATCATTTCCATCCTTATTGTGGCAGTGTTCTTACTAAAAATAACTCTAAAAATATCAGAGACAGAAACTTCTGCTCTGGGCAATTTTTGTTCAGGATTTAGCCAGTTTTTGGGGCAAAGATGAAAGAAGGCTTACACACATAGACAAAAATCTCATTCTTTGGGCTTACTCTGCCTAAATCAGTCTTCATCCTTTATGATACCTGCCTCAGTGGCATGGCATGAAGAAAATCAAGACTGGCACACTGCACAGCAGCATATGCATCCAGGTGGTAGGGTGCCAATTAGGCATGACCCAGGGCCAGCACACCCTGTACAGGAAGTCTCTTCTCTGACATTGGGCTTTGGTCTCTGCTTGTTGCTGCCCTCTCCTGCTCAGACTCTCCAAACACTCCACTCCGGGATCATGAAACAGTGACAGGCATATATACTCTTCCAAGTCCTCAATAAGCTATTCCAGGTGCAGACCCTACCATAGTAGACCATCCCCTCTCTTTCTGGGTGCAAAGAGGAGGGATAGGAGGGATTCAAGGCCCCTTGTTTGCCAGTCACACTTACCTCCTAGAGCTTGTTTCATAACAAAATCCATGATTTGTTGCTTGGGGTCCTGCCCACCTTCACACCTCACATGCACAGAGACTGGGAATCCTTGGAAGGCAGCCTGCAAAGAGGCACAATCAAAACAGGAATAGTGTCTCTAGGAGAAGAAAAGGCTAATGCCTGATTTTCCTCAGCTCTCTCCCCACAGCTTTCCTCCCTTTGTCTGAGTGCAGACAAGTTTCCAGCCCTCCATCCTTTCAGACCCTGCTTCTCACGACAGGGTACCCGAGGAGGAGAGCTGCATGTTGGCCAGTGGTCAGCGGGTGCGGGGAGTCAGGGGTGCACGGCGGCTCCCCCAGACTGGGCAAGTGCCCGGGAGCAAGTGCGGAGGAGCAATGCGGTCCCCTTTTATGGCTTGTTTCCTGCAGACGGGCAGGAAGGAGTTAAACCTTTGAACTTTCTCGTTTCCCCGCCTGCTTCTCGCCCTCTCGGTTTTCAGAGGGTTTGCTCCGAGGTGGCAAGTCCGCCCGGGACCGCCGAGGGGGCATTTGAAGGTGAAGCGCTCTGCAAGTGCCCGGGAGAACAAGCGGGGGATGCTGGGCGATCAGGATGCGGATTCAGTCCGGGTGGCGGGATGGGAAGTCCCCACCGGAACCCCTCGGAAAGCCCCCAGCGCAATGCCAGCGAGGGTTGCACCTCCTCAGGGTGAGCCGGGACGGCTCAAGGTTGAAATCAGCCGGCCCCAGGTGCAGCACAACTCCGGCTGCGGCATCCCACCCCCCGCCCGACCTGGGCACCGGGTGACAGCGGTGCCAGCACCTGGAGGGACAAGAGCTGTCCCCCGTCTCTGTGTGCCCGCAACCCTCCTCGCTTCTCTGCCCTTCCCGCCCCTGCGCCGCTACCTCGCTCGGCGACAGGCGCTGTGCTGAGACGGGCCGGGCCGGGGCAGGTGGCTGCGGCAGGTGCCGGCTGCTGCGGCCGCTCTCGTCTCCCACGGGCTCCGGCCGGCGCCCGTGTGCCCGAAGGTTGCCGGGGAAGTTGCGGACGCGGAGTCGGGGAGAAGGAATGAGTCCACAGCTTCTCCCTACTTTTCCCCCGCGCCTCTCTTTTTATCACAGCATTTCCGGACCATCCCACCGACACGGTCCCTCCTTCCTCCTCCCCTCGTTGCGGAGCCGGACTCTCTCCCTCCCCCTGCCTCCGGCTCCCCCGCCCCTTCCCTGCGCCGCCCTCGCCCCTCGGTGCTCGCCGCTGAGCAGGCCGGCAGCGCTCCCGGAACCCCGCGGAGGGGTGCGTGTGTCTGCATGCGTGTCCCCCAGCCCATCCCCGGCTGTCTCCAGCAACCAGGTGTCCTTGGGCTTTGCCGTGGGGGGAAGGAGGGGTGGCTGTCAGCCCGCTGTTGCATTTTGTAATTGGTTCCTTGCCTCTCCTCGGGAATCAGTGTGTGTGCCAGGGGAAATCTCTGCAACCACGGCTTCCTGCAAAAGGGGGAGGGTGTGGGAGAGCGTTCTGCATCCTCTGTTCTGAGTCCTTCCCGGAGATCCCCTCTCATTCCCTAGGTACTGGGAACCTAGGGAGTTGGAGAGGCAAGGAAGAAGGCAGGAAGGGAGCGGACTTTCTCCTCCCTCTTGCTTCGCCTCGGATAAACTGTGGCCGGAGAAGAATCGCCGGCTGCTTGTCTCTGTGCTCTCGCTATCCATGCTGGAGGGGAGAGGGGGTGGGATGGGGGGAAAGAGGAAGGTCGTCTCCCTGCGCTTGCCGCTGAAGGACGCGAGTGCAGCGATCCGTTGTCCAGCCCGGATTCGGGACGGCATCTGAAGGTGAGAAGGAAGGAGCTGTGTACGGTGCGAGCGCTACGTGGCAAAGCAGAGCAATATCCACTCCTGAGCACCGGCGCCCGCCTTTAGGGATGCCGACAGCCGGCTTGGAGCTGGATGGGGAGGAGACGAGTTCTGCTGCTGATCCGCCCTTTTGTCGCTAGCAGGAGAGGTGGGACAGCAACCCCCAAAGTAACCTATATGGGCCTAAAAGGAAGGAGGGGGCTAGAGCGGAACGCTGCCGGGGATGGGGAGCAGCGGCGCCTCCCAGGGAGACGCTGGCACGGCCCGTGGGCGACGTTCTCTGAAGGTCACGAAGGACGCAGGGGCCGCACCTGGCACCGTGCGGAAAGGCGTGCAGATCCAGCAGGCATGACACGCCAGTCAGTGCCTCCCGGGGCAGCGAGCCGACCATCGGGGCTCCGCAGTCTGCAAAGCTTTCAGATGCCAGCTGCAGATGCGGGAGTGCATGTTTCTACACTCAGGGCAGCCACCTGGGTCTGCCTCAGTGCCCCAAGCCTGTCAGTGTTTCAAAGGCGTTTGGATAATGCCCTTTATAACACGTTTTAATTTTCTATAATCCTGAAGTGATTAGACAATTGGACTAGACTGTCTTTTTAGGTCCCTTCCCCTGAACTGTTTGGTTCTATTCTATAGCCTCCCAGAAAACCACTTTTGCAGCTGACACTAGTCTAAGAAACTCACCTGGGTAAGCATGTGCTGCACTTTTTCTAACACATTTCAGAGAGGAAAAAATAATACCAAGACAGGGTGGAAACCCTCCTTGTTCTATACCTTAACTCACCCCCAGAAATTACCATTCAAAAGGCATAATGCAGTATTTTTTATGCTTTTTCATACATAATATGACACACACAACATGTGTGTCAGCATAGATTACTGTGCTCAAGAAATGAACCTGGGAGCCTGCTAGAGCTGTGTACCTGGGTTTGTGTGCTATTAACACAGTGTTTCCAGATCTATGGTTTTTTCTGAAGTTTCTATATGACTTTGAGCGGGGTTTATAGTTTGGGTCTGTCATATCACACCTCACATTCCATATGATTGCTCTTAGAGAGAAGGACAGTGTCCCCACCCCAGACTACCAAACTTCCACACGCACACCTTGCTCCTGTCTCCCGGAGTCTGGAAAGGGACAGAAGGATCAGAAAAGTGTGAGCTAATAGTTAGAACACCCAATTGCCTAAAATCAGCTTTCTTCTTCCTATTTTTGGGAATCCTGGACCATGCTACATCAAGGAGCTCCTGCAGCAGCTGAGGGTCAGCATAGCCAAGTGGGATTGCTGAGAAATGTCATTGTTCCTGTTTATAGGCTCCTTACAAGCTTTGCAATAGTGAATGTCCTCCCTTCTGTGCAGAGAAGAGTGATGTCATCCACAGGGATTTCAGAAGCCAGACAAAACAATAGGGACATCCAGAAGTCCCTGAGAGATCCTTGAGCTTCTTGTTGACCTGTTTAGAACTACTGTTCTGTTTTCAGAGCCAGCTGACTCTCCAAGGGTCATGTACCTGTGGTTCTGCTTCCAGACTGCACCCACCTTTTCCAGATTACACAGCTGACACAGAAAATCATGATACATGAGACAGCGAAACATAGCTCTTAACATAGCTCCTCTTCAGGAGACCAAGGCACATCATCATGAAATCACAAACTCCACTGAGATACTCTGACTCCTAACTTCAGCATCTCTACTCTGCCTCAAGCACCAGATTCCATGTAACTCCCACAGGATGTACCTTCCAGATGAAACTCCAATCACTTGTGAGCCTGATTTGGGTACCTCCTGTCCAGGTGATACCCTGACTATTCAGTCAGGAAAGCTCCCACCAGTAGACTCCTCACCACATGAGGATCAGGCACAGAGGCAGGAAAGGACACAGTCAAAAGAGATGATGTAGTCTATAGATCTGTGTCTATTCATAGTCTCAGAAAGGCTTCTTGAGAAGGCTTTTACCTCAGAGGCAGAGCCTTTACTCAATTTTCCAAGAAACCCAGCTGGAAAGATAGACTCATGGGGATCTGCTAGGCGATTTACCTGCTATACATGATGTCTGCTACAAGAGAAATAACAGCTCCTGCAGCCATGGTAATGATATGAGCAATGCCACATGCATCTTCTTCTCATGGCATATATCAATATCCTAGGTTTATAATAATTTATGATTATGAATCTAGAAGTAATGCAATTTTATAACATTTGCTGGGCAGTAACAAATCTCAGAAACAGCAGTGTTTTCTCACCAGAGTGAGGGATAGAGACTGGTGTCTGTGAATGCGATCTATCCCAGCACCATGGACAGAGGAGAACAGCCGAACATGTCCGGACACCTCCAAAATTTCCCCAAATACCAAAGCCAGTTCACAATCTGGTTTGCACTGTGTAGCTGACATATGCCTGCTCCTGACTGTGGGAATAGGCTTGTTCTTCCTTGCAGAACCAGAACAGTAGGAATCCACATTGTGACCTTGCATGGTGCAGATGAAGAGTGCAGAAAACTGAGCAAAAATCTCCTCCACTGAGTTTTGTGCATGGAACTCAGATTCCTTCCTTGGACACCAGTGGGAAATCTGTGTAAGAAGTGGAATAAGCCAATAATTTGGTTTGGTGACATTTTCCATAGAAGAATATATATTTGGATCTCCAAAAAGAAGGAAAGGTCTGTTTTCAGAAGAAAAAAAAATAAATTAGTGAGGATGTTTCATTTCAACATCTTAAAACACAGTGTTTGATTATTCATTTCCATATGGTGTTTGACTACTAAAGTGAAACCAATGCCATGTGAAAATTATACTAATAAGAAAGCTCACAAACAAAGTGTAAATGTTAAGGAAAATACTTAAGCAGCTGCCCAATATGAGCATACTTTGTTTCTTTTTTCCTTTTTCCCCCCTATCTTTTATGAGCTCTCACTATTGGAACTGCTGCACTGTTTAGTAGACTGCCAGCAAGACCTGCACAGGAGCAAGATGATTAGCTTTTTATCAACATGGCTACTGAGACAGAGGAGTCAGGTACTTTCTAATGGTAGTTTGTATACATCAGTTGCAAATGCTTCACTGGTTCAGTCCACTGAACACAAATCTACTCTATGTTTCATTTTCTCTTCAACTGTCAATTCTGACTGTTAAAACATTTCAGAATTCAAGCATTTTTGCCTCTTCAAAAGTATGGCTTTGTTTCTTGTTGTTCCATTCAACTTACAGCAGGCTTTAAGTAAGGTCTTCATTTTCCAACCAAATTTTTAAAAAAGAACAAAAAAAAACCCCATAATATCCTTTTTAAGAAGAGTGTTTCCCTTAAGCCAAAACTATAAAAGGGGTTTTCAGCCATTTCTGATAGCTCTGAGGCTCTGGTCCCTTGAGGTTTCTTGAAGATGAACTTTCTAGTTGAGCATTTGCTCCAGCTATCACAAGACCAAATTTTAGCTGCCCGCCCTCAGAAAAACTGAAACGAACATGTATTGATTGTTCTGTCTTTTCTGTTTGTTTTCTACCTTTTCTACTCCCCTAGTCCCTGTATCTCTATTCCTTTCTTTGTTTCCTGTTCTCTGGACAAGTTCTTGCCGTACCAGACTGATTGAGAGTCCCTTCTCACCAGGACTCTGATTCCTGTGGATAGGCATGATCAGATAAATATCCTGCAGCTCTTATCTCCAGGATTTACAGTTCTACATTACAAGGCTTCCTTGGCAGACAGAAGTTGTCCATAAAGCCAAGAATCCGTCTTTACCACTGCAGTGATTAACTAAAGATGCTTCTATCAAAAGCATATCAAGTTTTTGTCATGAGATTATTACTTCAAGTAATTTTGGCAGGAATTTTTCCACCAGTGAACAAGTCATCCAAACCAGAGCATTCTGTGATGTGTCAGCTTATACAGGAGTTTAGAAGCAAAGAGGTAAAAAAAATTACTGCTCTATATTTGATGCTGCTGAAACATTCTGCTTTGAGATATCAAAAGTGCTGCACGTTTTCCATGACCAAATCACTTTGCCTTGACTCTTTGCTTCAAGCAATACATATCTGTCTGAAAAATAAACAAAATCATAGCAGAGTAAATTGGGTTTTTTCAGAATTCTTTGTCATGGACAGGGAA